GGGGAGAAGAGGTAGGAAAGTTGTTTTTCATTGCCCAAAAAGTTTTGCATTACTAGAAAATTCTGGTTTTCTCTCCAACTCAGTGTGGGAAAGGAAGGAAACCGGTGATGAACAATCAGATAGTTCTAATCTTCAACAATATACACTCTGGTTAAGAGAAATTCATTTCATTTTCTCACTCCCACGAAACTGCAAAAACTAAACACTGGGTACCACTGGACTGTTCCTTTTAGACTTCTCGTACATAATTAGAAATGAATGGATAACTGTTAAGACTGTCACCGAGGTCCAACAATTAGGAGACACCGGAACATAACATAAGAGAAGCCAGTGTTGGATCAGGCCAAAGGACAACCAGTCCAACACTCTGTGTCACACAGTGTCCAGAAATACCAGGTGCCCTCAGGAGGTCCAGCAGTGGGGCCAGGACACTAGAAGCCCTCCCACTGTTGACCCCCCCCCAAGCACCAAGAATACAGAGCATCACTTGCCCCAGACCAAGAGTCCCTATCTATACCTTGTGGCTAAGAGCCACTGATGGACCTCTGCTCCGAATGCTTATCTAATTCCCTCTTGAAGCTGTCCATGCTTGTAGCCAACGCCACCTCCTGTGGCAGTGAATTCCATGTGTTAATCACTCCTTGGAAACATCTCCAAGATGCGTACTAACAGCAACCTCATTTGACATAACTTTCTTCAATATCTATCAGTCCTGAATGTTGAAGGATTAAATCCCGCTCAGATATCAAGACCCCTGACCCCAGACGGCCCAGGCTAGCCCGATCTCATCAGGTCTTGGAAGCTAAGCAGGTTGGCCTGGTTGATCCTTTGATGGGAGACCCTCGAGGAAGTCCAGGGTTGCTACGCAGAGGCAGGCAATGGCAAACCACCTCTGAACATCTCTTACCTTGACCTGGATGGGCCCGGGTAGCCCGATCTCGTCAGATCTTGGAAGCTAAGCAGGGTCAAGTCTGGTTGATGCCTGGATGGGAGACCACCAGCTACGTCCAGGTTCACTACGCAAAAGCAGACCGCGACAAAAGCACCGCTGTTCGTCTCTTGCCTTGAAAACCCTACAGTGTCGCCATGGCTTGTCTGAGATGTGACAGCACTTCCAGTCAGTTCGGCCCTAGCCTGAATGGCCCAGGTGAGCCAGATCGGATCAGATCTCAAACGCTAAGCAGGGTCAGTCCTGGTTAGTACTTGGATGGGCGATCACCAAGGTAGTCCCAGGTCGCTATGCAGAGAGAGGCAGAGGCGAGCCACCTCTGTTTCTCTCTACCCTGACGTGGAGGGTCCGAGCTAGCTCAGGCACATCCGATCTCAGAAGCTAAGCAGGGTCAAGCCCTGATCAGTACTTGGACAGGAGACCACCAAGTATAGAATCATAGAATCACAGAGTTGGAAGGGGCCCTACAGATCAGTGTTCCCTCTAAGCTGAGTCAGTGTGAGCTAGCTCGCAGTTTTTTAGCCTC